TTATGACAGGCCATAGACCAAAAATTATCTATCTCTATCTTCTATTTTGCGAATAATGATATGCAATAAAAAATTATATAAAATTGATTTTTTACAAAGCAAAAGAGGGGTATATAGGTGATAAAAGATTAGTTTGTATTTTGTAATTTAGTGTACTTATTGTAGAACTGTTGTTAGGTCAAAATGACCGTTTTTAGATCGCTGGCAAAATGTTGTTTCCAGAGACAAAGCTATCGCCAACTTTCCAATAAAAAGCAGTTTAAGGAAGTTGCTATACCGGTCCCGTGGGGCTATATCCGAGGAAAATGGTGGGGTCCCACTGACAAAAGACCAATATTGACTCTTCACGGTTCACAGGTAAAGGGTATAGCCGGATTAATATGGGAAATCTGCCCGTGCGGCTTTTTTGACTCGCACTCAGGGGATCGATTTGGTGTCGAATCAAAATAATTCACCTAAATTTTTAGCTCTTTAACTCAAACGGTTTTCGAGATTTTCAAAAAAACCTGTTTTTTCAATTTTATTTTTATAGTAAAATTCGAAATTAATTAATGCTGATATTTTTTTCTAATTCTTAGAAGACTGATGACATGAAAAAATAATATGATCATGATTCTTAAACGAAAATCCGATTTTTAGCGAAGGAAAAAAAATTAAAAAATCTTCATTTTTTAGCCTTTGTGAAATATGTCACTCACTAAAAATCGTCAGAAAATGTCTTTTATACTTTTTTTACACACAGGAATAAGAAGTTTTACACGCTTGGGGTGCAAGGGGTATTGAAGCGATACATATAGCCTAGCTTACCCAAAAGTCAACCTCACCTTCACGTGGTGCACCCTGTTTGTTTTGCACCCCGTGGTGCACCCCAACAAACGAGGCTCTGACGACCGAGTATAGGCGGTATATCATTATACAACCCTCAGACCTACCACCTTCCTGGGGAAGAGGAGTGGTAAACTACTCCTAGCCGGCCGAGAGCGTAGCACAAGGGAACTATCGTCGCAGTCCTCACTGTGCCATAGCCATCCCGTGCTACAGTTGCAGCCAAACTGTGTGGCAGCGTAACCGTCACAGTTTTAACCTTTTTACGCAGCTTACACTCATCAAAGATGGAACATTCGAGTAGGACAAAATCATCGTCCGGAGGTAAAATACCCCCTCGATCGGATCTCCGGGAGGGGTGCCTACCTCGAGCGTATCATCGGAGAACTAAACATCGTCAATGTTTCACGTTTGCGGCGTGAACCGTCCACTCTACTGGACAGGACAAACTCCAATCGACCAGAGAGACCAGCATTGGTCTCACAGGAACTCCACCGACTAAATATAGATGTTGCCGCTCTTAGCAAAACCCGCTTTGCGGATGAAGGTAGTCACACTGAGGAGCATTACACCTTCTTTTGGAAGGGTCACCCGGCAACACACAGGAGAATTCATGGCGTAGGCATTGCAATCAAAAATGAAATCGCCACCAAATTAACAGAAGTACCTATTGGTGTCTCCGACCGTCTTATGACCCTAAGGTACCCCATATCAGACAAAACTTACGTCAACATCATAAGTGCCTACGCTCCTACCCTAGACGCTAAAATTGAGGATAAGGATATATGTCACTCACTAAAAATCGTCAGAAAATGTCTTTTATACTTTTTTTACACACAGGAGTAAGAAAAAGCTCTGCAAAATATACTCCAACAAATTCCAAAGCACGAACGAATCATTTTGCTAGGTGACTTTAATGCCCGTGTCGGCAAACAACAAGAAATATGGCCTGACGTATTGGGAAAACATGGAATAGGAAACGTAAATAACAATGGTGAACGCTTATTAACAACATGCACAGAGTATAATCTTTGCATCACCAATACGTGGTTCATGCTGAAGGACAAGTTTAAAGGCGAGAAACATCCGAGATCAGGACATTGGCACCAATTGGACCATGTAATCGTTCGGAGGGACGCACCTAAAAAAATGTCATGTCTCCACAAAGCCAGAGTAGATGCCGAATGTGGCACTGACCACCGACTTTTAATCTCAAAAAATGAAAATCCAGTTAAAAACCCAAACATCCACACTGTAAAAGCAAAGCTACATGACCAGATTGAACGCATGGGGTCTAGAGAACAACGATACCGCCGACGCCCTCCAGGAAGCCATCAAAGAATCACTTCCACTGATAACTTCAATCTCAATCGTGGATGCTGAACATGCCTGTGGACACAACTAAGAGATGCGATTCACAAAACCAGCGAAGCAGTACTGGGAAAATCCAACAAAAAAAGAAACAACCAGACTGGTTTAACGAAAAATCCAAACGCATATACAGGCTTTGTTAGAACAAAGCATAGAGCACATCAAGCCGTCACTGCAAATCCACACAATCCAAGACTAGCAGACAACTTTAAGGCAAGTTTCAACAACACGCTCCAAAGGGAAACCTGCGCCAACTAAAGGATAAATGGTGGTCGCAAAAAGCTAGTCAGATTCAGGAGTATGCTGCATCACGACTATCGTAAATTCTTTGAGGCTGTAAAAGAAGTATACTGTCCAACTAAGAAGGCAAGATGCCCAATCATGGCACAAAATGGCGAACTTCTAAAAGAGGAAGAGCAAATTAGAAACCGCTGGAAAAAGCATTACAGCCATAATCCTTAACCAAGAAACAACCCGGAATAGAAGCACACTCAACATAATACCTCAGTATAACAGCCTCGATGTATTAGACATTCTAAATAACAGAACAGGAAATAAAGGACTCCATAAAACAGCTTAAAAAACAACAAATCAGCTGGCTGTGACGCGATTCCGACGGGAATCTATAAGTGCAAGTAAAGAACTTTTCATTGGTCATCTTAAGGCCTTCTTCGATGTCATATGGGAAAGCGGGAGAGGTACCTCCAGGTACGTCCAATTTTACAGTTTTACATTAGGATTCTACTACTTTATTTCCATTATCGATAAGGGTAATTTGATCTTGAATAAGCTACGATGATTTTGGAGTCACGATTTTGAAACACTATAAGACTTCCTGATTCATTCGGTTCAGGCTGACCCAAATCCTCTGTGAAATACATTACTTTTAGCTTTTCGGGTATATACTTACTACAACATTGTACAAAAGAAATTCTCTCTTTTCTGCTACAACCCGCAGCCTCCTCGTGTACACGTGTGAACCGTAACTGAATGAACCGCGGTCGGCATTAAAACTGCAGCATTTTTTAGGTTATTATATTGTTCTTATCACGAAACTTTTTCCTCTATACTTTTCTACATTTGGTATCTTTGTAGATAATGCCATGACTCAAACGAAAAAACCTAGGCAATACCTAGCCAGTGGATATAAATGTGTTCTCATGTAATTACATGTTACAGTCCATAATAAGAATATTTGATTTTCGAGACATATTAATATTTTATTATCTAATCTAGTTTAAAACCCTATTTAACTCTTCTCTGCTGTCTCAGTAATTTTTACAAATTCATTTTAGCAACATTTTAAACAACAATTTAGACTTGGCTTTTAGTTCTCAGGACTTGGCTTTCCAGTCCGTCCCCAATTCAAACCAAGTATAGATATGTTTTCTCCGTCAACCGCAGAGTTCGAATCAAATTAAGTCTACTTTTTTACAAAGGGGAGCTCGAAAAATATTGCACCGAGAGGCCCCCAGTTGTCAATCTACGCTACCGTATTCTTAGTATACATTTAGATCGAGACTATTTTAAATTTACCTAATGCTATTCATTCTTTTTTTTTGCTGCCAGTCTAGATATTAATAAAAGAATAGTTGGCAAAACTATACAGGGTGAGTCATATAAGTTGCAAATATTTTTCAGGGGTGGTATATATTTCGACCCTGGTGAACTCGACGATGAGTTTTTTTTTACAAAAAGATGTTAAAATCGAGCATTTTCTTTTAAATTTATCTGTATATTTTAGAAAACTTTTAGAACTTCCTGTTCACCGCAAATTTTTTCCACAGTGTAGTTTCTTAATCTCTGATATTACGGCACTAAAGAGATGCAAATACCGGAAAACTGAGGTGGCTTAAATTTTTTAAAAATAAATCTATTTTTTTCAATTTCCAAACTTTAATAACTCGATTAGACTTATTTGAACTCGATAAAGAGAATATATTATGTTTATTTTATTAAGATCTACCAGCCCTGAAAATATTTGCACTTATAGACTCATCTTGTATAATAAAAATTTTCAAACCGAACAAACAACAGATGATTATTATTGAAATTATAAGCCTCCAGAGAAAGACATTTTATAATGGTTATTTCACAAATTGGTGTTTAAGTTTAAAAACAATTGCTAATATAATCTTTTTTGAGCTCTGATCGGGACCGGCCCACCGGGAATTTTCCCCTTTTTCCCATATGGCCCATCCACCCCTGGTGTCATATCATGGATCACTGAGCGATCCCTTCCTAACAAACACAGGCGTTAAGCGGGGATGTGTCTTAGCGCCTCTCCTATTCAATATATTCATGGCAGCGCTCTCCATTATAGTGGACAGCAAACTGCAGGAAAGAGGTTTGAGCATTAGATACAGATACGACGGCAGTCTGTTCAACATAAAAAGACTCAGGGCAAAAACACGTACAAAATTCATCACAGAACTTCAATACGCTGATGAAGCTGTGCTCCTGGTTACAAATGCGATTGGCGCAATTGCAAGAAATGTTGAACACATATACATGGGTATACGAGGCCTTGGGACTTAAGCTGAACATCGATAAAATTAAAATTATGTGCACTCCCCTAGAAGATCACAACAATGCTATAAAAATCGGAGATGAGCAGTTGGAATATGTAGCGGAATTCAATTACCTTGGCAGTTTGATTTCGGAAAAGGCCAATATCGACTCTGAAATTCAGCACAGGATTAGCAGCGCCTCAAGAGCATTCTGGAAATTAAAAGACAGGGTTTTGTACAATCATGACTTGAGCACAAAAGCGAAACTTGCAGTACCGAGCGATAATAATTCCACCACCCTATGTTATATGCGAGCAGAAACCTGGGTGCCGCATCGCCGACACATGAACGCATTAAACAAGTTGCAACAGAGACATCTTAGACAACTCTTAAGAATAAAATGGTTCCATCATGTCTCAAACGTATCGGTCCTTGAAAAAGCTAACTGCGAGAGTATTGAAGTCATGATTACAAAGTCCCGCTTACGATGGGCTGGTCACGTATGCAGAATGCAAGAAAACCGCATACCAAAATCTCTGCTTTACGGTGAGCTTGTAGACGGTAAGAGGAGGCCGGGTGGACAACTCAAAAGGTTCAAGGATATTTTCCACGAAAACTTAATAGGAATTAACAATCAGAATGAGTGGGAAGGGGCAGCTCACAATAGAACGGAATGGAGAAGAATTGTAAAGTCAGTTAACAGCGACAACCAAAAAGTAAAGAGGCAACAAAGCAATGAGATTTTTGAATGTCTGGAGTGTGGTAGACAGATAACATCACGTATCGGGCTTTTCAGTCATAGAAAAGCTCATGAAAGAAAACGCCTTGCGTGACCATCTTCTGATGCGTGTCAAATACTCGTCAGCGAGTAATGGCGGTATGTATGTATGTACACACAGGAATTTTTTAGAATTTTTTGAAGTGGTGGAACAATATGAAAAAAAAATAAAAACTCATTTTTTCTAAAATATTCTTGGACTTTTCTAAAATATTCTTGGATTTTTTTATAACAATTTTTATGTTTATTTCTGGTAAGGACTTATTTTTAATGAAAAAATATTTTCTATTTACTTTTATAAACTAAACAAAAATATAAGATAGTTTAGAAAATTTTAGAAAAAAAAATTAGTTTTTAATTTTTTTCATATTGTTCCACAATTTCCTATATTTTTAATTTTATCGATTTTATGGAAAGCACTGTTTATTAAAATGTTGTATCCTATGTTATATGGCTTGTTTGTCTCTACAATTTCCTGTCTCACAATGTACCGTTTGTGTCGGGGAAGGGTTCATAGTTTCATAGCTGTCGATTTTCGAAAGAAATCAGTACATGTATGTTATTTCGTATATTTTTCATTTTATTGATTTTATGGAAAGCGCTGTTTATTAAAATGTTGTATCCTATGTTATAGGGCTTATTTCTCTCTACAATTTCCTGTCTCACAATGTACCGTTTGTGTCCAGGAAGGGTTCATAATTTCATAAATGTCGATTTTCGAAAGAAATCAGAACATGTATATTATTTCGTATATTTTTCATTTTATTGATTTTATGGAAAGCACTGTTCATTAGTAGCAGTGTTCATCGTTTTCCACAATTTTTTTCTAATTTTTAGCAGTCTGAGACATGAAAAAATAATATGATCATGATTCTTAAACGAAAATCCGATTTTTAGCGAAGGAAAGAAAATTAAAATTTTCATTTGTTTAGCCTTTGTGAAATATGTCACTCACTAAAAATCGTCAGAAAATGTCTTTTACACTCAGGAATGTTTTAATTTTTTTTGAAATGGTGGAACAATATGAAAAAAATTAAAACTCATTTTTTTCTAAAATCTTCTGTTTTAACTAACTTATATTTTTGTTTAGTTTAAAAAAGTGCGTTAGAAAATATTTTTTCATTAAAAATACATCCTTTCTAGAAATAAACATAAAGATTATCATAAAAAAATGAGGCCGAGAAGATTTTAGAAAAAAAATGAGTGTTATTTTTTTTCATATTGTTACACCACTTCAAAAAGTTCTAAAAAATTCCTGAGTGTAAAGAAGTATAAAAGACATTTTCTGACGATTTTTAGTGAGTGACATATTTCACAAAGGCTAAAAAATGAACATTTTAATTTTCTTTCCTCCGCTAAAAATCGGATTTTCCGGTTAAACCGGTTAAGAATTATTATGATCATACTAGTTGAAGCGTGGCGCATCCGCCACGACATCAAGAAAAAAATACTTTTTTATTTTTTTTAATTAAATGAAAAACGCGACGACAGTCTTTAGGAGAACCAATTATATATAGAACCATTTTATATATGTAGATTATTTTTTCATGTCTCAGATTACTAAGAATTAGAAAAAAAATCATCATTACATTAATTAATTTTAAATTTTACTATAAAAATAAAAATAAAATTGAAACAACAGATTTTTTTGAAAATCTCGAAAACTGTTTGCGTTATACAGAGCTAAAAATTTAAGTGAATTATTTTGATTCGACACCAAATCGATCCCCTGAGTGTAAGTCAAAAAAGCCGCGGGGCAGATTTCCTATAGTAATCCCTTTTTCTTTATTTTTAAATAAATTTGTACAATTTTATATTGTTCTTTTTCTATTAAGTATTGTTTTTAAACCTTTTTTAGGATAATTGTGGATCATTTGATAGACTAATACCTCTATTAAATACCGACACTGGATATCTGGCAATAGATCTATCTGGACATGGTTATTCATCCAGATTACCCACAGGTGTACCCTATGACATTACAACATATTTGTCGGCAATTCACTACACTAAGAAACATCTAGGATGGTCACGCCTTACTTTGATGGGTATACGGAGGTATTACATGTTTCACGTACACCATGATGTATCCAGACGAAGTCGATTTTTTAATATGATTAATATTTTATTATTGGAGTTAAACAATTTATACCAAAGTTCAGTAAGAAAAACACCCAGTTACACGATGGAAGAAATAAAGACAAAAGTTATCCAACCGAATCATGGATGAGTTCATACCGATGTTGCGCATTATCTTTTGGAAAGAGGTATTTCTCCGTCTAAAACGCAACCCGGCAAGTACTACTTTACCAGAGATCCACGCCTAAAAGCAGAACCATTCACATAATTTAATAATAATTATTAAAAAAACTCATATAAATTTTATATTGTTTCTAAATCCTATAATATACAGGGTGAGCCTTGAATAAGTGCTTTCTCTTTACCGTTTTTCAAATAAATCCGAAATAACCGAGTTATTTTACTCTGAAAATTGCCAAAAGAAATTATTTTTTGCTAAAATTTTGAACTGGATCTTTTCTGGATTTTCTTTCTTGCAGTGGCGGCTCGTCAG